GGAGGACATGTCGTTTCCAAACTGTGGCTCTCGCCTCAGCGCCGCGCACATTCGTCTTATACGATCGCACCCTTTCGCGGATAGAAGGGGGTCCTTTTCAAAATGTGGCTTTCGTCATAGCGCCGCGCACATTCGTTTTTAATGTTTGCCAGTGGTGCACAAATCGTTTTTCAAAAGTCGGTCTCGAACATGAACACATGTATTTTCCCTCCCAACCATCCTATGGTGTCGGGTCCTCGTCTTTAAGAAACAGCGACCCGCGTTCCTCCTCCTCCTCCTCCTCCTCCTCCCTCTTCCTCCTCCTCCCGCTGCCTCCTCCGAGGGCCCCAATGGCAAGATTCGCATGGCAACACCGCGCGTCCATTTCGGCACACCCCTCACACGGTTCGTGGCCCCATAAGGAGCTCCACCAAGGGCCCCGGCAGCATGGTTCGCATGCGGTTCCCCGCCCACCGCGCGTCCATTTCGGCACACCCCTCACACGGTTCGTGGCTCCATAGGGAGCTCCACCGAAAGCCCCAATGGCAATATTCGCATGCGGTTCCCCGCCCACCGCGCGTCCATTTCGGCACACCCCTAACACGGATCGTGGCCCCACAGGGAGCTCCACCGAGGGCCCCGGCAGCAGGGTTCGCATGCGGTCACACGGTTCGTGGCCCACTAGGGGGCTCCACCGAAGGGCTCCAGTTGCAAGGTGCGCATGCGGTTCCCCGCCCACCGCGCGTCCATTTCGGCACACCCCTCACACGGTTCGTGGCCCCATAGGGAGCTCCACCGAGGGGCCCCAGTGGCAAGGTTTGCATGCGGTTCCCCGCCCACCGCGCGTCCATTTCGGCGCACCCCTCACACGGACGGTTCGCGGCCTCATAGGGAGCTCCACCGAGGGCCCCAGAAGCAGGGTTCGCATGCGGTTCCCCGCCCACCGCGCGTCCATTTCGGCACACCCCTCACACGGTTCGTGGCCCCATAGGGTTCGCATTCGGTTCCCCGCCAACCGCGCGTCCATTTCGGCACACCCCTCACACGGTTCGTGGCCCCGTAGGGAGCTCCACCGAGGGGCCCCAGTGGCAAGGTTCGCATGCGGGTCCCCGCCCACCGCGCGTCCATTTCGGCACACCCCTCACACGGTTCGTGGCCCTATAGGAGTTCCACCGAGGGCCCTGGCAACCGAGGGCCCCGCCAGCAGGGTTCGCATGCGGTCACACGGTTCGTGGCCCAATAGGGGGCTCCACCGAAGGGCCCCAGAAGCAGGGTTGGCATGCGGTTTCCCGCCCACCGCGCGTCCAGTTCGGCACACCCCTCACACGGTTCGTGACCCCATAGGGAGCTCCACCGAGGGCCCTGGCAGCAAGGTTCGCATGCTGTTTCCCGCCCACTGAATCTGCGGTTCCCCGCCCAATACAGCGTTTCGTGGACCCTTAGGGAGCTCCACGGAAGATGATACCCACAATTGCGGTACTCACAACTGCATATGGTTGGGTTCTTCGTCAGGCTAATTGATGTGGCTTTCGCCTCAGCGCCGCTCGCAGTCGTCTGAAAAGTTTGCCACAATTTGGCGGATTGATGGGGGGGGGTCAACATGTGAGTCTCGCATGAGCGCCGCGCACATTCGTCGCAACAGCTTGCGTCAGCTTCACTGATGGAGCATGGATCGTTTCCAAAAGGTGGCTGGCTCTTTGCTCAACGCCACGCGCATTCGTCTTCAATGATCGCAACCTTTTCGCGGATGGATGGGGGGCCGTCAACAAAACGTGGCTCTCGCCATCACGCCGCGCGCATCCGTCTTTAGCGTTCTGCTCTCGCTTCACGGATGGTGGTTCCATTTCAAAAACAGGCTCGCGCCTCAGCGCCGCGCGCACTGTTTGCACGCAGCGCTGCACGGATCCACTGCGACTGTCGCTCGAGACTTCCTCGCTCGTGGCCACAGGCGGAAGTGTGTAACAGCTACACGGGTGGGGGGGCATCCTTCGTTCGAAAACTGGAAGATACCGCTGTATACTTCGTCGAAAGGTATGATCATGATTCCTCGCGTTCCTGACTGCGCGCCAGAACAATGCAACGCAGCTTCTTTTCAAAGTGGCCCCTCGCCAAACTGGCAGGCCTAACTGCGCTGGTATTTCAAGGGGGGCGCGTCTTGTAGTAAAAAACACGTAGGAGCGTGTGATGGGACTTGGTGCGTGTGTGTGTGTGTGTGTATGTGTTGCAGCATCGCTGATGCATCCTTCGTTTACTCTGGTCCGTCGTCCTCCTCCTCGTCTTCGGCCTCTTCACTTATCCCTCGTCCCACCCTTTCATACCCGCCCGAAACCTTACCGCAAACACCAGAACGGTACGAACATCTCACAACTCAGGAAACGTGCGAAACCACCCCACCCCTTTCTCCTCCCACACCCTGCCAGTCGTCCTCCTCTTCTTCCTGCTCCTCCTCCTCCTCAGCCATTTCTCTCGGGCAGGGGGATCTGGAGTTTTTGACGGCCAACTTAGAATGGGCACTGCTGTCATGAGCAAGCAAGAAGAGCGGTGGTACCCCACGCCGCCAGCTCCAGCGATGGGACCAAGCCTCGCTGAAGCACGCGCGCAGGGTGTCCACGTCTTGTCCTCCTCTCTTGTCTCCCCTCGCCCTGCTTCCCCTGCCCCCTCCTGCCATCAAGATCGGGACGGCCCGCACGCCTACCCAGCCGAGCTGTGGAAAGCCACCGGGGCACGCCTGCCGGTCGCACTGAACTTGGCGGCAGGCATTTGTACCGACAGTGGTTGGACGACCTCCGTAGCTCCTAAGCTGGGATCAAGTCGTGCGGATAGAGTGGAACCGAGCGAGCGAGCATTCATCCGCAGCTACAGCGAAGCGATCCGTTTGAGCGAGCCATGCGATCAGGTGCGAGCAAACATCGTCAGCTCCAACGCTAGGATCAGTTCGTGCGGGAACCACAAACTGAGCGAGCAGACGTCCTCAGCTACTGCCAGTGTAAAGCGAAGCTAGAGCCCGATATCATCAGCTGCAGCGCTGGGATCAGGGCGTGAGTGGACGGCGAGCAGCGGCAGGCGGCTCTACCACCCAGGCTGCGAGAAGCGGGAGGCGACGCTGGAACCCGAGCTTGTCACCAGTGGCGCTGGGGACAGCGTGTGCGCGAATGGCGTGGAGCGGTAGCAGGCTCTGACGCTGCTGCTCGAGAGGCGATCGGCGAAGCCAAAGCCCGATGCCATCGACCACATCGCTGGGATTGGGGCGTGCGAGAACGGCGAGCAGCGGCAAGCGGCTCCGGCACCACTCTGGGAGAAGCGGAAGGCGACGCTGGAACCCGCGCTTGTCACCAACGGCGCTGGGTACAGCGAGACTGGCGAGGAGCGGCAGCAGGCTCTGACGCTACTCCACGACCAGTGAAAGGCGAAGCCAGAGCCATCAACTACAGCGTTGGGGTGAGGGCGTGCGAGAAGGGCGAGCAACGGCAGGCGGCTCTGGCACCACCTCTGCGAGAAGCGGGAGGCGAAGTTGCAGCCAGATTCCGTAGCCAACACCGCTGGAGGCATCCTCTACGACAATGCTGGGGACAGGCCGTGCAAGAATCCCAGGGCGTGCGAGAAGGGCGGGCAGTGGCAGCAGGAGTGGAGGAAACGCGCGAGCCCAACGTCACCAACCACAGAGCAGCTAAATGTTTGGGACCAGCTCGTGCGAAGGACGCACAAGAATGCGCGTGACAAGCACGGCCGCGCAGTGGAGAGCAGGCAGTGGCAGCAGGGGAGCAACGACAGCAATTCTGTCGCTGCTCAAGTGTTTGGAGTTCGGGCGAGGCACATCTCAATTACAATGCAAAAATCAACTCCTGCGATGAAGCAATAAGAACATGCGGAAACGTTTCCGACTACAGCCGTGTACAGTCTGGCTCGGGGTCGGCCCCAGTGTCTGTGCATGGTCTCGGTCGGTTAATCTCGCGCGACCTGTCGATCGATCGAGCCGCCATGCATCCGCTCAAATCCTCCTATCGCGTGCCCAGGGGCGCGCGCCAGTCCCCGCCTAGCCGCAGTTCCTGTGCACCGCGTCGCGCACAGCTTGAAGCGCACCCGCCGAAACCTCGGGCGACATGCCGAGAGCAGACCTCGCCTGTGGAAGATGACCAAGATGGAGATAGAGGTGAAACGAGACGACGCTGACGACGAGGGGCGAGGGCGAGGGGGTGAGATGGCCGAGGCGGGAAATCGGACAGGAGGGCAGCTCGCGTTTCAAAATGTCGCTCACCAAGGCCGAGAATTTGGGACAAGAGAGGTAGTGTTTCGGACAGTCCAAGCAGCAAAGACATTCACCACTCTCATGGGAGCGGGTCCTGGTCAGCCAGCATCCGCTGAGAGTCTATGTGATAGCAGTGGACCAAGGCGAAGGGAGGCTGACAGTGCAATGCCGAACTGAAGACCAATCGATTTTGGCAATTTCGGCTGAAAAACAAGAGATGAGGCGACGCGTGAAAGGCGG